ATCACATAGAAGGTGTCAGAGCCACACTATAATAATAATAATAATAACAACAACAACAACAGTAATTATTATTATTGTTATTATCATCATAACAATCATTATTATTTATTTTCTATTATATTGATACATTATTACATAAATATTATATTTTTTATATATTATAATAATAATAGTATTAATGTGAAGCACTGGCAATACTGAGGTGCAAGGGAATGGATGGTCCTTTCAGGATGATAAATGATGGCACGACTTAAATCAGAGCACAGGGTTGGGACTTCCATAATACCCTTCAGAGCTTCAAGGCTTCATATGTCCTGCTTATTTCTTGCCCTTTTAAGTGAATTTAACTTAAAAATAATGAATTTTTATAAAAAAGGCAGCAGGGTCTTACAGGGACTTCAGTGGTGTCTTCACAGAGACATTAGTTCATCTAAAACTGAACATCCATGCAATCCAAACACATCCAGCTGTGGCAGGCTGCCCACATGGCACAATGATTCTGCCTTCTCCAAGGATTTACTGCAGATCTGGGCCATGAAAATAGATTTCCCTTCTCTTTCCCCCTTCAGCTTTGTACATGTGAACCTGCCACAACATCCCTCGTGAAACAGAGTGGGGATCTCTATTTTCACTCCTGTGGGTGGCTCAAAGATCCTTATACTCAAGCATAAGGATCTGGGGAGGGTTTGACTTCCCAGCTTGAGCTTAGACCTTAAAAGTTCTCCCTACCTTCCTTGCAGGGCATTTCATAGAATCATAGAATGGTTTGGGTTGGAAGGGACCTTAAAACTCATCCAGTTCCAACCCCCTGCCATGGACAGGGACATCTTCCACTAGCCCAGGTTGCTCCAAGCCCCATCCAACCTGGCCTTGGACACTTCCAGGGATGGGTCAGCCATAGTTTCTCTGGGAAATCCATTCCAGTCCCTCCCCAGCCTCACAGGGAAGAATTTCTTCCTAATATCCAATCTACCCCTGCCCTCTGTCAGTTTAAAACCATTCCCCCATGTCCTGTCACTCCATGCCCTTGTAAAAACTCCCCACACCCCCATCCAAGCTGACAGGTTCAGCATCCTGCTGGGTGAGGGGGCACTGAGATGTTTGATGCCGATGTGACAACATCCCTCATCCCCCCCAGTCATTTCCTCTGACCTGTCTTAGCCTGACACTTCCTGATTTAACAGCCTGGCTGCTGGGGCTGTTTTCCAGCCTCATTCCATCACCTTCTCCTCAGCTGTCCTCTTTCCTCTGCCTCCACAGCGTCTTCCTCCGAAGCCTGCAGGGCTGTGACACCGATGATGACGTGGCCATGTGCTTCATCAAGCACGAGGCAGAGTTTAACAGGTACATCCAGTACCTGGTGGGAAGGGTGCAGGCTGAGTCTGTTGTTGTCAGCAAAGCTATCCAGGACTTCTACAAGGTAAGGCAGCAACCAAAGCACCCATGGAAAGTGCATCCTATAACCCACTGCGTGGAGAAATGTAGTTATTAATCACAAATGTGATCCTCAAGAGGATTGTTAATATCTTTTGTAGTCTTTGCTAAATGTAATGATTTTTAGTTCACTGTCTTGCTCTTCTTTGTAGGTATAATCAATATAGGAACATACTTATGTATGCTTATGCATTTATTAATATTATAAAGATCATACAAACTCGAATGTGGCTGTGCTGATGTGACTGTAAGGGGGGTTTTAAGGGCCACCACATTACAAGGCCAAGTGAACTCATAGAAATCATAGTATAGATAATAAATATATAATAGGCAAACCCTGTTTCTCTGCCCCAGCTGCTCAGGATTGAAGTTCACTGGTGAAAACACACACACAGAGCTCCAGATCCACGAGCACGTGGGTGGTTGTGGATCCCTTGAGTAGCAAGGATGGCTCCTCTGCCCATCCAACACCCAAACCCAGATCCTGCACTTTTACCCTCTCCTGGCCTCCTACTTTTAGGGTAAAAATAGTAGGTACTTTTTTTAGTACCTGCTCAGCAGTTACTCCAGCCTGATGCTCACTAGAAAACAAATGCCCGTGTTCACACTCACCCCACATTCCCATGAGCATTTTCCAAGGAGTCGTTATTTACCTTGTCCTCTATGACAACCTTTCCTCATTTCTCTGTGCATTTTTTCCAGAGATACACAGATGAATTTGAAACTAATGAAGATCCTTCACAACCACTTATCCCACCACTGCAGCACTACCTGGAAAAACCCATAAACAGGATCCAGCAGTATCAGACAATAATTAAGGTAAGGAGGTTTTGTTGTATCTGACAGGTTTATGTTCTGCTCTGTGCAGCTTGTGGAGAAAATGATTTTATTTTTATTTCCTATTTCTTGGCTTCCTTCTGGTGCAACTACAACTGAAAGCTGATTGTCTAAATAAGAGAGTAACCACCACCAGTGGTGATTTTCTCTAAATAGTTCTGTAAATATAAATCCAGGTAGAGATTCACAATCTCCAACCCCTAAAAGTTCTGTGAGCTTTATCTGAATGATCTTTAAATAAATGAATACATATGTGTAAAAAATATGTGTTTATATATATATATATGAATACAGGTATGTATATATCCATGACAAGTGTCAATTTGCTTCAAACTAAGCAACACTTACGTCATAAAAATAAGTGTTTTCCAAAGTGTAAGATATTGATTTACCACTTTTTAAACTTGTGTTTTATGTTGACCCTGTAGTAAGATGGAGTTTTTTATTTTCTGAAAAGCCTTGCCCCGTGCTACCACCCTGAAATATTTAATCTTTCAAGCTTTCATCTGTCCTGCTGTCTCAGGTTCTAGCCCAGGCCATGAGCAAACGTTTCAGAGCAGCATTTTAAACAGCATTTTCATGGGAAATGGCATCAGGGTGTCCAGGAAGAAGACAGTCATGCCACAATATTTCTGTGTTCTAGTGTTATATAAATGAGCAATTTGAACAGTCGGAAGAGCTTTCTAATTTTGAACACATTCTTGGACGCAAGCATCAAAATTTTTAAGGGTCTCTTGGAGGAGTGAAAGCACTTTCCCTGCCTTCATTGCTGAAAGAGAGGAACAGGAACAAATTTGAGAAGAGCAGGAAAACTGACATTTCATATTTCTGCCATATTTCTCTTTTTATTAATCTCATGTTGAGTCTCAGTTCAGCTCTGTCACTTGAATTGCTTGTTCTGTGGTGGTGTGAGGGTAAGCAGAAGAGAAATGCAATGGGTACATTTTGCTTTGGAGTTTTTGGGTTTCAATCACTTTCTGGTATTTGTTTCAACTTTGTTTTAATATTAATGGATATAAGGAAAAGCCAAACTGGCTAGTCATTAAGGCTGCAGGAAAGAAAATACTTCATTATCTAAGCAGCACATGGTGAAAAAAAACGGGATAAAAGTTACTCAGGTGAAAGAATTGGAAGAGATATTGAGAAACTCTTTGGCTCTGGAGGAAGTGTGGGGTTTTTTTCTCTGATTGCCCTTCATTCATCCACAGGAATTAATCCGAAACAAAGCAAGAAACAGCCAAAACTGCACCTTGCTGGAACAGGCTTATGCTGTGGTGTCTGCCCTGACCCGGAGGGCAGAGAACAACCTCCATGTCTCACTGATTGAGAATTATCCAGGGACCCTGGAGAGCCTTGGTGAACCCATCCGGCAGGTAACTGGGATTTCTCAGTGGTGTTGGTGCCATCTGTGCCTCCCCTGGGTCCTGAGTAGCCTTAATTCCAACAAGAAGCCCCTTTAGACACCCTGCCTGAAAGAGAGTTTTTGCTCCTCCCATTTTTTGTTGCTTCGGAGCAGCCCTGGCAGGACCAAGGTTTGGAGCAGCAGAGCAGAGACACTGATGGATCAGCTCACATATAATATTATTTGTCTTTCTGATCCACTCATCAAACAGGAAGAGATTTGTTCTGGGATCCCACATGATTTTAAGGCATTTTTCTTCCTCCTCCTCCTCCTCTCTTATTATTCCCAAGCTACATGGGCCAACTCCTGAAATTATTGTCATCTAAAGACCTGATTCTCCTCCAGGTCTCTCCCGTGAACCAGGTGTGGGATTTAGGATCACAGAGGAAAGATCACCCAGCTATTAGGACACCAGCCTGGGACTTTCAACACCCTTACTCAAATTCCCATTTCTTTATAGACTTACTTGCCATTCTGGGCAAGTCATTTATTGTGTCTGTTTGTATCCCATGTTTTCCATGGGAATCATGGTGTATTCCTGAGTGGAATTGTAAGGCTGAATTACAGCGATGGGGATTCATCTATCCACATTTAGACATTCAAAAAAAAAAAGAGTCCAATCACACCCTCAAGAGTGTTTACTTTTTCCTAGTGGTGCCAAGGGGCAACCCCTGTCACTAACTGAGCTGTGTCTGAAGGTACGTGAAATTAATGTCCTGCTCTGGTAAAAGCAACCAAATCATCACATAAATTGTCTGCAGAACACACAAAATGCAATTTTCCATTAGTATTTCCAAGAGTTCTCCTACCTGACAAGTGCTCTGTATTTTTCTGGCAACAAACCACACCTTTGAAAGGACAATGTGATGACAACCCCTGTGTGTGCCCCCGGTGGTTCTGTCAGTCTGACAGGTCACCTTTAGGATTAAAAACCATCTGCTGTGCTGTAATTAAACCAGAGACGCACCACGTGATGATGTAACAGGAAACATTTATCTGCTCACTGAAAAATTATGGCGAATCATCATTTTTTATTACTTATTTTTACTATATTACTATTATTATATTATAATATTGCTATTATTTATTAATTACTCCAGATGCATCACGACGTGCTCTTCCTTCTTTTTCTTATCAGGGCCACTTCATTGTGTGGGAAGGAGCTCCAGGAGCTAGAATGGCATGGAAAGGACACAAAAGACACGTTTTCCTCTTCAAAAATTACCTTGTGATCTGCAAACCAAAGCGAGACACAAAGACAGACACCTACAGTTACATCTTCAAGAACATCATGAAGGTCTGATCACTTTATCCTCCCCTGGAGCATTTCTCTGTCACTTCACATTTGTATCCAGCTTGGACATTTCTCTAATCCTTTTCAAGTATTCCTATGTTTCAAAAACTCTTTGAAGCACAGGTAGAATCTACATTTATCCCAAAATATCATTGTCAGAATTGACAGAAACATGTCAGAAATAATCAGAACCTGGATGCAGCAATGAAATTACAAGTATTAATTCATCCCTCTTGCCTCATTATCACCGTAAATACATTATATTGAGGTGAATTTTGCTGTTTATAGTATTTACTAGCATTTGTAAATCTTTGATTTTGGCAGTCTCTAATATTGGGAGTGAATTGGAAGAAATGTTATGGTCACATGCTACATTCCATGGGGTTCTCTCTGCTGGTTACACCCTTTCCAGACACAAATTCCTGCTTAAGAATGAAAAAAATTCAGAGGATTTGACCAACTCATCTTCAGACATTCAGGGTTAAGACTAAAAGAAATTGAGGAAAGAGTTTTCACAAGGCAAGAGATGCTCAGCTCCAGTCAAAAACACCAACCAAAAAAACCCATGGGGTTCTTGACCAACTCAGTCGGGACATTCTGAAAGTCCCGATCTTCGTCTTAAATGATATTCATGGGCTGATATTACATTATTTTCCTGAAATGGGATTATTATTCCCGGTAAAATGTCAGTTTGGGAACCAGAGAGTCAAGTATACTGGGGAAAATAGCTCTCAAAGTGCCTCTGATTGCTGTTCACCAAAGCCGCGTCTCGTTGCTTGCGCAATCCAAAAAATTCCTTTGAAAGCTGTTGAGAATTCCTTTTGCTGCTGGGAATTCCTGAGAATGTGGGATACGTGCTGAGTTCCTTGTCCTTCTGCCACACAGCTGAACAACATAGATGTGAACGACCTGGTGGAAGGGGACGACCGGGCGTTCGAGATCTGGCACGAGCGGGAGGACCTGGTGCGCAAGTACCTGCTCCAGGCGCGGACCGTGAACATCAAGAACTCCTGGGTGAAGGAGATCTGTGGGATACAGCAGCGGATCAGCGAGCCCATCTGGAGTAAGCGTGGCCCAAGATAGCCCAACCCCTCCCTATTTTTATTTTTCTTGGATGGTCTCCTTGGTTGAGGAGGGAGATGAGCATATGGGGGGAGAGGACCCGTTTGTGGTGATCCAAACACCGCGCGGGCAGAATTGAGGGAGGTGGTTCTGCCCCTCTGCTCTGCTCTTGTGAGACTCCACCTGCAGTGCTGTACCCACCCCTGGGACCCCCAACATCAGGAGCTGCTGCAGCAAGTCCAGAGGAGGCCACAAAGGAGATCAGAGGGTTGAAACACCTATTCCATAAGAAAAGGTGGAGAGAGTTGGGGTTGGACTCTGATCCAGAGTCCTGCACTCACCAATTTAAATCCCCCTGTGATTTTTTTTGGGTATCAGACCCTCTATTTGACTTCTGGCTTGCACTGCTGTTATCTGTGCACTGGGGTTTGCTTTGGAATTTTCTCTGGTCATTCAGGCTGCATCACCCTCAGTGTCATTAGAGATTCCACTAATTTTCTATCCACAACATTTGCGAGCAGGGATATTAAATCTTTATTTTCCAGGCATAAGCTACAAATGATGTCCACTACAGTGTAAGGATATTTGGCATCTTAAAATGCCAGAAGAGGATTGTATTAAATTTATATGTTCTGAAAACAAGCCTGGGCATTTAATTTTTGTGCCTTTAGTGAGGTGTTGTAATGAGGAAGACTATCAGAATAATTTTGCATCGTTTCATATGGTAACAATGGGTTAAAATAAAAGTCCCTTAACAAAGGAACAAGTTGCCCAGAGAAGATGTGGATGCCTGGAAGTGTTCAAGGCCAGATTGGATAGGGCTTAGAGGAGCCTGGTCTAGTGGAAGGTCCCTGCCCATGGCAGCATGTTGGAACTAGATCATCTTTCAGATCCCTTCCAACCCAAACCACTCTAGGATTCTCTGATTCTAGAAAGCATAGATTTTATTGTATGGAGACCAACAGAATACTAGTTTGGATATCCAGGGAACATTTTATTTGGGGAATTATGTTATTGGTGACATCTGTCTGGTGTCTGAATAATGGATGTGCTCATTAAAAATCATGGTCAGCAACAAATCCCTTTTTTTTTTTAATATGGCCTATCTTTATGGCCAACAACAGACATTTGATGGACTGAATTTAGTCTCAAATAAGCAAGGACAGCACTTCACCTGGAAAATATTGAGCTGCTAAAATTTCCTTTCAGCTTTCCATTCTGAACCTCGCAGATTTGCAAATCTATTCTTACCTTCCATAGCAGCAGCCACTCTTGGGCAGGGCTGCCCTCCTCCAGACTAACACCACTTATCCTGATGTTTCAGTACCTCCAGACTTCGAGGAAGAACTGGCAGATTGCACGGCCGAGCTGGGAGAGACAGTCAAGCTGGCCTGCAAAGTGGTGGGAGCTCCCAAACCATCCATCAGCTGGTACAAAGGTACGAGGAGGAAGCCCTGAAATGCCTCCTCCAAGTTTGCCCTCTGTCTGTGTTGTTTGATGATTGGTTGGTGGGTGATGAAAGAGCTGATGCTCTCGAGATACCCAAGTCTAGTGACCGTGTTTATGGTCACTTTGGAGGTGTTGCTTTGGCTGGCAAACCAGAGCTGTGGGTGCACAGCACATACTCTGGAAAAATGTCACTGTTCAGTGAGGATTGGTGACATGTGAGGTCCCTCAACAGTGCTTTGCCCAGAGGATATTTTGTAGGGAGCTGGACAAAAAGATGAGGAGCTCATTCCCCGGCTACCAACATCAGCTGCAATAAAGCAAATACAGCTCTCAGTCCTGTCCAGTGGAAAAGCTGCATAAATCCCAAGGAGAAACATAATGGATACTAAGATATATTAAAAAAATCACTTGCCTTTGCCTTTCAGATGGAAAGCCAGTGGAGGTGGATCCCCATCACATTATAATAGAAGACCCCGACGGTTCCTGCACGTTGATCTTGGACAACCTGACAGGTGTTGACACAGGACAATACATGTGCTTTGCTTCCAGTCCTGCTGGAAATGCCAGTACCTTGGGAAAGATCCTTGTTCAAGGTAAACTCCTGCATGGATGCATTATTTTAAAGGGGTCTGCTATGAGGTACTTTAAACTTGTGTCAGCAATAGTGTGGCCAGAAGGACCAGGGCAGGGATTGTCCCCCGTGCTGGGCACTGCTGAGGCCACACCTCAAATCCTGGGTCAGTTCTGGGCTCCTCACTTCAGGAAGGACATTAAGGGGCTGGAGCATGTGCAGGGAAGGGAAGGGAGCTGGGAAGATGCTGGAGCAGCAGGAGCAGCTGAGGGAGCTGGGGGGGCTCAGCCTGGAGAAAAGGAGGCTCAGGGGGGACCTTCTGGCTCTGCAACTCCCTGACAGGAGGGGGGAGCTGGGGGTGGTCGGGCTCTGCTCCCAGGGAACAAGGGACAGGATGAGAGGAAACGGCCTCAAGTTGCACCAGGGGAGGTTTAGTTTGGATCTCAGGAAAAATTCCTTCACCAAAAGTGCTGTCAAGCACTAGAACAGACTGGTGGAGTCCCCATCCCTGGAGGTGCTCAAAAAACGTGTGGGTGTGGCACCTGGGGACATGGTTGAGTGGTGGCCTTGGCAGTGCTGGGGAATGGTTGGACTCCATGATCTTAGAGGGCTTTTCCAATGTAAATGATTCCGTGTTTCTATGATGAAGGTCTGTATAACACCTTCTGGATAATGTTTTAAAAAAGTTATTTTATGTACAAGTGCAGTCAACTGTTCTTAGGGCAAAAGATGTGGTCTTTAGTGTCCTGTGTGCAGACACCATGAGAATTACCTGGTCAGGGACACATCCTTATTTAATTTACCTTTGCTTTGCAGTGCCACCAAGGTTTGTGAACAAGGTCAGAAACGCTTATTTTGTGGAGGGTGAAGATGCCCAGTTCACCTGTACTGTGGAAGGAGCACCAAGGCCTCAAATCAGGTCAGTCCCACAAGTCACACTGGAACAAATCCTGGTTTCCCACTTGGCATAGCCAGAAAAGTCTTTTGAGGTTATGACCCTTTCTTCTCTGTGTCTTCCACCTTTAACCCATCCCAATCCTGGGTCTTCCCAATCCCAACGTTCCTGAGATTCTCAGCCATTTATTGTAGCTAGGATCTGAAAACAACACCTACAGATAATCCCTGGCTGTATCAGATCTGACATTTTATCATTCCTTTATCCTCCCTGCCTTACACCTGAACTGATTTTATCACCAACCAGTGTTCAGACAAAAAGCCCAGCAAATCTTTGCGTCATTTAAAGCCCTTTTCCTGCATTGGCTGATGAGATTCCTTGGGAAGAATCTTGTGCAGTTTATTATCCACGTGTGACCCACTCACCCGCAACCAACCTTCCAAGCTGGTTGCAGGTGAGTGGGTCACACATGTTTAAAATTAACTATTGAGTTGGTTGATAGCTGGAACAGTGAGATGGGCATCTCTTGACACTGGTTGCATTTTTCCTGGCTTATACCCCGTGTTTTCCACACGCAGATGGTACAAAGATGGGGTGCTGATAAAGGACACAAATAAATACCAGGCTTTCAGTGAACCACGGAGTGGCATCGTGGTCCTGGTGGTCAAGAACCCTTCCAATGAAGATATGGGACACTACGAATGTGAGGTGAGTTCAGAGAGATTTAAATACCTGTCATGTGCAATGATATAGGTAGAAGAATTCATTTTACTGGAGCAGACCCATGGCATGAGGTCAGAGGCAGAGTAACTGCTGCCACCTGGGATATAAAAAAATTATATAGAACATCAGGCTGAACTGATCTGGATTGTGAACATCCAAAAGTTTCAGAATATCCCGATCTGGGAGTTTGCTGGTTCAAGTAATAATCAGCTGAGCTTGTTCTGCAGCTCAAATTTAGATCCAGGTCTCTAGAGTTACCTCTTACAAAGTTTAGGGACACTCTGATGTGACATTTTGTTTCCGGACTGTCTTTAAATTATGGCACATCCATGCTGCTGCTAAGAAATCATCCAAAGCTAAAAGAAAGAAATTAAATCTAATTAGAAGGATAAACCACTGAAATTCCTGTTTGTTTAGCAAGTATACATGGAAGTATCTAATAAATTAAAATAAATGCAAAATATTTTCTGAAAATTGGTCATAGCCTATGCATTTATTGTAATAAAATAGTAATAAGCTCTGAGGGCTGGGCAATAAAAATAATTGATCTTGGTTTAGGAAATTAATGGGTCAGTTGCCCCTTGGTAAATGGTTCAGCTCATGGAAGTGTTTAGGATGTTTGCTATAATTTAAAGACTTCTATTAGAATTTTAACAAAACCAGAATACTTTGCATTTGCTATTAACTAAGACCCCAAGGTCCAGTATCCCCCTGGATGAGTAGAACCCCGTAGATTAATGGATGATGAACGAACAAAACCCCCTTTATTTGCCACCCAGGGGCACAGAGCAGAATCTGTGCCTGTTGGTAGAGACAGAGCTAAGCCAGGACTGAGCCACAGGCTGCAAACTGCAAATAACTAAGTAAAAAACCAAGTTTGCTGATGTCAGTTTGCTGTGATTTGTCTGTGTGGGGTCATTTGTGGTAAAATATCAAACAAGAACTCCACTGAGCAGCAAAGTGTCCCTTCAAACCCCAGCTCAGAATTGGGGTCACACCTTCACCCACTCCCGTCGTCGTTTAAATGCATCGAGTTGTTTAACGTAGCGTAGGAAGCTTTTGTTATCATCAAAACCCCCCGTGTTTCACTGGGCACTGCCCGATTCTCTTCAGCTGATGAACAGATTAGGGTCTGCAAAAAGTGGAGCAGAGCTTTACCACCACAGTGCTGCAGCCCTGACCCAGGAGAGGAGAGGAGACCAAGCCATCACCATTGAAGGTACGGCCCTTGCCCAGCTCCGTAAGTAGGTCCCTGAATTCCTCCAAAACCACCTCGCTGAGGGTCGAACATATTTGCCATCTTATCCATGTTGGTTGTTGGTGTTCCTGTATCTGTTATGTCTACCCAGATGTGCATGGGCAGAGTGCAGCTCAGCTCTGGACCCATCACCATCTGTTGATTTCCAAACCTGGCAAATCAACTTCATATAATGCTCGTCAAGGCATTATATGAGAAAGGAGAAGCAAATGAAGGGTATGTCACACCTCTAGTGCAAGGAAAATGTCCTATGTTCTGTTGGAATACTTGAAAATGTGTGTCAGCCTGGCAGAACGTGAGTTACAGGGGCCAGTAAGTAAAGCTGGAGGCATATTGTGATTGTTTATGAAATGCCACTGAAGAACATCAGGAATGACTGAGAAAGCAGAACTGACAGCAGTAAATCCTGAGCAATATTGGTTCATCCATGATTTGAGACTGTTGTGGGATAGTCATAGAGTCTATTCTTTTTTCTTTCTAGAAGTTTACCCTGGATTGAAGGGTCATAGCAATTGATTTCACACCCATCCAACAACACATCTCTTTCTTGACACCTTTAGGTATTTTTGCCCAAAGTTACCTTCTCATCCAAGGGATTTCCACACACAGTGTTAGACAGGATTGCTACAGACCCATCACAACCCACTTTCAGTCTGTGGGTACATCTGTGTAAGGGACTTTTCCTGGCATAGGAAATTGGTTCTTTGTACATCTTGGAAGTGTCCTTGGCTGGCTGAGCATGGACCAGCCAGTGCTGCCTTTCTTGAATAGCTCAGGGGATAATACAGCCGAGGGACCACCTTTAGTAGGTAATAAATACTGATTTGGAGGGTAAAAGAGAGGACTAGGACAGGCACAGGCCTTTCCATGCCAGCAAACCTTGGTTCCAGAGACCTCTCCCAGATGTGGTTGGTGGAGACACGGTCAACAAAAGCCAGAGGTTTGCCAGCAGCTATAGAATGTTCTTTCCTCATCTTCAGTGATTCCACATTGTCTTGTGATGATAACAGGAATTCAAGTGCGTGTTTGACAGGAGATAATTGATATTATCGATATCCATTAGGGATGTTTTGATTCAAGAAGCTGCCGGGCAGAAAATGCTGGAGAATCTGGAAAAATATTCGGGGAAAGTGGTCCTCTACTCCTATTTTCTTCATCATTTTTTATAGTACTCTGCTGTTGGCCCTGTCTGAGGCAGAGTCCTGATCTGGATGGACCTATGGGCCAGCCCCTTGGAGACATTAATGTTTTGTTATTGCATTAAGAGGATTCACTCACAATAAGCTATATTAAGATTAGTATCCTCATCTATGGACTTGCTTGACTTCATTTTAAGTTTGTTTTCCCTTTATTCCTTTCCCAGAGTCCCATCAGAAAGCATTACAGGGAGAATGGTGTTAGTGTAGAAACACTGTGTTTTTCAGCAGAATAAACCTTCAAGTACTCGAATGTTTTGTCTTTGCTGTGCCCTAAAGAGGGAAAAATAAGTTGTATGCAGGATGCAGAGGAACATAAACAAAGCACTGTTAGGGTGGTGTATCTTGATGAAGTTCCCTTCAGGCAGATGATGTTATAAAGGAAAACAGGGGTTGTAAAAAGTGTTAGGAGCATTTTCAGCTCTTGGGGTTGCAAACGTGGGTATTCAGCCCCAAATTACTCATCTGCTGTTATTCCTGCAGTCACAAACAAAACAAATTTTGCACTTGATTGAAGAAATATAATTGGAGTTTGCCTGGAAGCTTCAGAAATGTTATGAAATAGGTTTGCTCTGCGATGTGCAGTTGCTTGAATTTGGTAATAGGGAAGGGAATAGATCCCTGAGTCACCTCCAGGGAGAAACAGAGGGAGAGCTGCTTCAGGCCAGTGGAGAAAACAGGCTCATCCATGGAGCAAGTGGATTGTTGTGAGCAGAATCCCAGCAGGGATGAATTTTGACATGATGCATTTGACCAAGGAGGGAACTTCTTGCTTTCTTGAGAATCAATAACCAGCCTTGACCTGCCTGTGGAATAATCAGGTTCATCTGGCAAAGAACTGGAGGACGGATGGATCTCATGAAGGCTTTCTCTTTCCATCCTTACCCTATATTTGGGAATAATGGGATTGCTTGTAACTTCACCAAGAGGACATTACTGCTGTCACCACAGGACAGAGATACCGTGTCTGCTCCCTCGCTCACCTGCGCTGTGGGTCTGAGTTTTACCTGATTTACCCTTGTTTCTGTGAAATGACCATTGCCTGGGTCTCCTGAGGCACCCCAGGGGGCTTCAGAGGCAAATATTTTAGTTTTTATCCTCCTGCCTTTGTGTACTGTGTACTGTACTGAGCCAAACCCACTGCCGCAGTTCGGGACACCGTTAGTCCAGTGGTTTGTGAGCCCTGACCTGCAGCTGGTGACGACCCACAGCCCAACACCACAGGTCTCACAACCAAAATTCTCGTTTAAATTCACTCTGTGGGAATTTGCAGGTCCTTTGGAAGGACCAAATCCAAAACAAGGATGGAAACCACTGGACTAAGGGGTCCCCTTGTGAGCTGAGACCTGCCTTCAACCACATCTGGTCGCTGCACTGAAGTCAATGGAGAGTTGCTTAAAAAATTCCTCTTTCTGTGGATATTGGAAGTGTTTTAAACACTTTAAAAAAAGTGTAACAGAAGAAGATCCTTCTCTTTGACTTCAAGCTTGTTGTCTGCTTTGCACCTTGTTGCTTTAACCTACACATGGCAGATCTGGGCTGTTGTGCTCTGGCGTCCCTTTTTAACGTGTCACTGTTGTGATTCCCTCATCTCTGGCTCCCTAATGTTCATTTTTAAAGAAAAGCCCAGTTTTTGAAAGGTGTTGCATTTTCCTGTGAGTGGGCAGAACAAGCCAATAGCAAGGGGAGGAGTCAGGTGAATAAATGGAGATAAGCAAAGCCATAAATAAAAATTCCCAATGCAGTTACAGCCAGGGAACAGGAATTTCTCCACGGTTTTGCCTTAGATCTCATGCAGAGCTTTGGGCATGTTCAGTTGCCTTATTTAGTAATACCCACCTTTCAGGGAAAAGCTAAATATTCCACGACTCTCCCATGGAAGATTGTTTTAAAACACAGGAACAGTAGATCTCCTGGTGTCACCCTTTTACTGAAGAAATAGGGCATAGGATTTTTTTTCCCCTGACCACTTGGAAGTTCACTGTTTAGGGTGATGATTAGGGTATTTATATCATTATTTTTACTCTGTTGTCACCACAGGTTAGTGACATTTTCAGGCTGACCACGTGGTTCTCAGGGCAAATTCAATCTGCCTTTGCAACCGTGTCAGTCGCTGCAGGAGTGGAGCCTTTTGGTTCGCTTGGTTTAGGGTTGGTTTGGGGGGTTTTTTTGAGAGAGAGAGAGAGCTCAAAACACTTGAATTTCATTCACACAATTTAGGAAACTTGTCTCTGTGAATTGAGTCACCAATATTTTGAAGACCTGTAGATGTGGCACTTGGGGACGCGGTGGCAGTGCTGGCTGAGCAGTTGGACTCGATGATTCTAAGAGTCTTTTCCAACATTAATGGTCCTGTGATGGTGTGAATTGCTCATTTTAGGTTTAGCTTTAGCAGTTCATGTCAGGTTTGTGCATCCCCTGCTGCTGATTAATCTCCAAAGTGTAGCAGAGAGGGGTGAAAGTGGAGCAGCGCTCCCGTGGTTCACGTCAGGAAAAATAGGTTTATGCTCCTGTGAGTGGAGAAAACAGACCTAAAAGTTGTAATAAAGGCCATAAAGCACCTTTCATCCATTCAGAATTCACTTATCCTAAATGTTTCATCACTTGCAAGTCAATGTTTTAATATATTAACCAAGGAGGAGTCTGGTCCTGTCGAAGCACTGGCTGATCCTAATGCTTCCAGCTTTTAACCTGCTTATCAGGGGCTCCTGCTTTGCAAAGCTGTTTTTTTTCCTAAAACGCTCTCGAAAAGTTGAAATGATAAATCCGGTGCTAAAATGGAATGCGGAATATTTTCCTCTCGGGGGGAAAAAAAAAACCAAAACAAAAAAACAACAAAATAACAACCTAAAACCAAAAGAGAAACCCAAATTCTCTCATCCTACTTTCATGTGGTTCTATCCTTCACATAGGATTGCTCAAATCCTCCCTCACACCATGGATAACACATAAAAAATTGACTTTATTTTCAGCTTTCTCATCCCAGGCCTGCTGAACTTTTGAATATTGAAGCCCTTTGACATTGTTACATATAAAAATATTGTGCTCAGTGTAATTTGGGAGGCCTGCAGGAGCGGGCATTAATAAACATTAAAGAGACTTTTTCTCACAGACATTTTGAGATTTCATTAAATTTATTCAATTATTTAATTTGTATTATTTAATTCTCACCTCAACACAGTTGCTGTTAAAATAACTGTGTGAAACACCTATTTTCAGGTGTATAATCAAATTAATTAACACTTATTTGCATCAGAACTCTTCACTCTTAAAGAGTCTTTACTCAGATGCCACTTGTGGGTTAATTTCGTGATATTATTTGATGAGATTTTCTAAAAGTTGTGTAAAAATTGCAGAATATTATTTGAAAATTCAGTGAAAATCTCAAACCTGGGTGCAGCGAATTTTTTGAGCACTCAGTTCGTCTGCCATCCTTGTATAATTATCATTCCACCTTTTAAAAAAGGGTTTGAATTATACAAAAAAAAAAATGAATTAAGGATAGGTAAACGGTCCTGTTGTAATTGTGTTCAGAGATAAATATTTGAAGACAATTTTGCCCTTTGCTTACCCAGAAAGCGTAAAGTCAAAATTCCCAAACGGATTTTGTTTAAACCCACCCAATTCCGCAGCAATTCCTTCCGTTCTAGAGGAAATCATTCCAGAGTTTTACAGGCATAAACGAGACAAAGCTCTGCAAAGAAAACACGAGCTCTAGGTCAGACATTATTATCAATATTTGCACGAAATTCTTTTTCATTATGA